GGAGGGGAGGGGAGGGGAGGGGAGGGGAGGGGAGGGGGCGACAGGTGGAGCCAATATCGCCGGGGGGGTCACGTCAAATCGTTCACGGTGCATGTACGGCAAATTGCATTTACGTGGCGTGGCAGACACGGCGGGGACACATGCATGGTATGAGAGGGTTAATACAAACACACACACGCCCGTCTGAGTTGCTGCCGGGGTGACTGACTGACTGACTGACTGACTGACTGACTGGTTGACAGACAGACAGACAGACAGTGAATGGATCTGACGACCCGCACACATACCCATAAACCCGGTGGCGCAGCGAACCACCACTACCTCCACAACCTCCCACTACCCACTCCCACTCCCCAGCCCATCCGCACCTAGCACCTCCACCAGCAGCCACAACACCGACAGCCCCGCGTACACCAGGGCCCCAGCAGCTGCCAGCTCCAGGGGGGCGAACCTCCCACTGTGGACACCCAGTCGTACAGTGCCCAGAGCGTAGAACACGCAGCTGCAGTACAAAATGTGTGTGAGAGGGGGGCAGTAGTCGTGGGGCCCTACACCCCATCAAGTAACACCCGCACACAGCCGCACACAGTACGGGACATCAGGGCATGGCAGTTGTGGCAGTTGGCGCGGTTGGTACGGGCTGTAACGGTCACTGAGAGGGACCAGGTCCGTCCTTCTCAGCTGCTGCTGCAGGGGGCCAGGCATGGAGAGCTTGTGAGCCGCCGCCGCCATGACGTCGTGCCGCCTCAGCTTCACCGGGCGCCTCCCCTCCACTTACATACATCCCTGGATCCACCTGCCAGCTAGCCCTTCCGGCCACGCCGATGCCGCCCTCCCCACTCCCCCCCCGCCAGGGGCCCCCTGGACCTAACCCGCACCTGGCCAACACGTAATTGGCGCCCATGCTCTCCCGGGACACGGCCGGGGCGAGTGAGGTACGGCCCCAGGTCAGCACCCGGGGGCCCGCGTGTGCCGCCAACCCAGCCGGCCCCCCGTCCACCCCGGCTGTCTCTAGACGCATGGAACGAGACACCCCCACAGCGCCCCCAACACTGCCAGCGCCTGCTGCTGCCGCCGCGGCCGTTAGTCCTGCTGTGTCGATCCCCCCTAGCCCCGCTACGCTACCGGGCCCACTGCTGCTACTGCCACTGCCAGCCGCCGTGATGGCTACTGCCGCTGCGGCCGCTGCTGCCGTCCGCCCGGACCCGTCCAGCGCCACCATGGCGGCCCCCAGCACTCCGAAGCAGCAGGCCCCCCACACCACCGCCGCCACCCTCTGGCCGCTCAGCGCCACCAGCAGGGGGGTGATGAGGCTGGTGGCCTGGCCCAGAAAGGCGACCTTGGTGGCGCTGATGCGCTCAACACCCCAGGCGCCGAGTGCGGCCTGCACAGGGCCCCCGGAGGGCGGGCAGCCCAAAGGGGGGGTTGAAGGTCCGTATGGGTGAAGGTGAGGGTTGAGGGTTTGCGATGAGCCCCGGTGCGGGCTGAGGGTGAGGGTTGAGGGGCTTACCGCGCAGAAGCTGTAGGTGCCCAACTCCACTCCCACAGCTGCCAAGCTGCCCAGTGGAGCCGCCAACAGGTTGGGGCTCCGACCCCCCCCTCGGGGGCCCCCGCTTGGAGGGGCCCGCCGGGGGGCCCCAGCAGCGGGACCCGAGTCAGACTCCCCCCCAGCGCCATCAGCCACAACACCGCTCAGGACGGACTCCACTGTTGACGGCGGTTGTGGCGGTTGTGGAGGTTGCGGTGGTTGCGGGGTCTCCTCTTGGCTTAGGCAGCTCCGAGCCGACACCAGCAGCCGGGGCTCCTGGTCGCCCTCGTGAGGCCCCTTCCCACACGGGCTGCTGGCGGCCGCCGCGGCCCCCTCGTCACCCGGCAGGTCGGAGGAGGACACTGCGGCTGCGGATGGATGAGCGCCCGGTGAGACCACGTGCCGGGTGCCTTGCAGCCCTTGTTGCTGGTCATGAGTGTCTTTTTGTTGTCTGGCGGTGGACTCCTCGCCGCCTAGCCCTAGCCCTAGCCCTGGCAGCCGCGGCAGGGCGGCGGGAAAGAGCGTCTCTCTCCGGCGACCCCGCCTCCCTCCCGTCATGCGAACCATAAGGCCCCGTAACGCGGCAGCACCCGACCGGATGGCTGACCGCAAGCGGGACGTGATCACCCGACCGGGACCCGCAGCAGCTTTCCACCTTGTCGCTACCGCCTGGACCCCAGCTGCGGCCCCCGTCTTGTCGCTCTCTCCGCGTCCGGCCCAGGCGCCCAAACCGCTGCTGCTGCTGGTGGAGGTGGAGGTGGCTGTTCTGTTTCCGAGTGGGAGGCTCCCGGCGAGCAGGAAGGCGGCCGCCAGCAGCGCCTGGGCCGCCGTCACGAGCGCGGCACTCGGGGGGCTTGGCTGGGAGAACAGAAACTTGAGCACCGGGCTGTAGGACCCCCACAGAGCTGCCACCGTTAGCAGCAGTAGCATACCGATCAGGTGCTGTGATGTGAGGGAGAGGGCAGGCCGCGCGTCTGGTGGTGTGCAAGGTTAGGGCTGCCAGGTGCTTCGAAGGTATGTAGCGGTGTAGAAATCTTGAAAAGAATTTTGGGTTCATCTTGTGTTAAATACGTTCAACCTCTCACCTCGGAGCGGCCGGCATTTTCGATTTTGGTGCTCCGAGCTCGAATGTGGGGTAGGTCCAGGTCCAGGGCGCCCGATCCACGCTCCGCCATTGAAGAGGGACGATGTGCGTGCAGGTGATGAAGACCCGTCGCTCCAGGGCTAAAGTTAACATAGTCAGTCGTTTCGTCCCGTAACGAGGTCCTATTACCCGGCATTCAAGACACGAGGTCCAGCCTGATCCCCTTCGTCCACGAAAAATACGTCGAAAGTTGTGCACAGATTCGTTGTCAAAAATCAGCGGTGCTATTCGCATGCGACCATCGCTGGCAGTTCGTGACAAGCTGTTGCGAACCGGCCAGGTTTCAAACTGCAATTAGTACGAAACCCTATTGCATTTCTATTGCCCATTCAAGTAGTTGGTTTTCGGCATATCGGTTTTGGCTTTATGGAGACGAGGCATAACACAAACAGTCATACTGAGCTCAGATCAGCGATTGTTTGTTTGTTGAAACTGGTTGTAACCAGTCAATACGCAATGGCTTGGGGTTCTAACCGTTGCAAGTTTCGTTGCACGCATCGTCCCATCGACGTACTCGAATTGATGTACGGAAATTCATGGGACTAGGCTTTTAACGCTTGCCTGCTATCCTCTGAGAAGGTTTGCTTACATTAAATCTAACCATGCCTGAAGCATTGCGTTGCGCTATATAATTGCCTCCATTAGCATAGCTTCTGCGCTCAACGGGAGTTTCGTTAGCCACACTTCAAGACCACCTGTGCTGTTGTCACATGGATTACGAGCGTTTTCTGAGTGCTGAGGCGAAACGCTTCACAACTGCGTCGCTCGCAGGTAGGCTAGCGTGCAGACGAGCGTGCAGCTGTCGGAACGAAACCACCGCTGAATTCGATTCCCGCTCGGAGCTCCTCAATAACGTGGCGCGCAATCAGATGATTCACCCTTTGGGTCCTTGACGGCAAGGATGTGTACCGCTCGCCCGCGGGACTGCTGCGGGCGGTGCAGTGCACTCCGGGGCAGTGGGCCGGGAGCCCTGGGAAGCCCTGGGTCCGGCCCCCTGCGCCTTCACGAGGTCGTACCAGCACCCACACCCACCTGCTGTCTCCCCACCACCTCCAGATCTGATGCACCGGTTCGCGGGGGTGGAGGGCGTCATCAGCCTGGCTGCGGGACTGCCCCCGGCGGAGGCCTTCCCGGTTTCGGAGCTGAGCGCCGTGACAGTGGATGGAATGCGGGTCGTGCTGGGGGCGGAGGGACGCCAGGTACGGCATGCAGGCGTCAGCCGGCTCGGGCTACATTCCCCTCCCTTAGACCCTCATACACACACATGTACACACACACGTAGGGAGGAGGTTAGGTCAGCCTCCGATGGACTGTGTCTTGTCCTGCACAGCATTAGGCACAGTGACCCTCCTGTGACGGCTTAGGGGTGCAGGGGTCTACTGAGAACATCCAGAGCCGTGGCCTTGGGAGAGAAACTGCCTTCCCATCCCCACCCCACCCCCGGGGGGAAAGAGGGACATCACGGAAGCCATCTGACATCGATTGTCCCCTCCTGCCCTTCTGCACCCATGTACGACACTGTACTGCACAGGCATTCCTGGCCCAGCAATACAACTTTAACCCGCAGGGCTACGACCCCCTGCTCAACTGGCTCCGAAACCTCACCGTCTTGCTGCATGGAGTGCAGATAAAGCATGCAACTGCTCAGCCTTGCCCGCAGCGGTTTCCACCACCACCACCACCACCACCCGCTACCGCTACTGCTACTGCTACTGCTACTGCTGTCGCTACTGCTGCACGTGTTGGGGAAGAGGCCGTGGGGGGTTCAGCGGGCGGCGTCTGTGGCCCAGTCCCAGCCCCGGTGGATGGCGGCGACCGGGGCGCACTCGCACCCGCCTCGGCGGCCCCTCTTGCAGGAGAGGCCGCCCCGGCTGGGGCCCCCCCCTGCAGCAGCGGTCCCCCTCCCCCCCTCCGCGACCTCGTGCTCACCAGTGGCGCCATCCACGCCATATTCGCCATCGTCAGCTGCCTCACGGAGCCGGGGGACACACTGGTGGTGGTGAGTGGAGGGGGCGGGGCGGGGGGAAGGGGGGGGGAGCAGGTGCTCTGTGTTTCCGCAGTCTACGTCCGCACACTTCACCACAACCAGGAGCCAGGCCTCCTCTGACACCGGCGCCGACGTGAGTGGGGCTCGGATATATCCCAGTAGCGGGCGGAGGGGGCTCAGTGCGAGGGGTCAAAAGGCGTATTATTGGTGGTGGAGGGCGATGGGCAGTCCCCCGGGCCGCATGGGCCTCATAGACCAGCCAACACTCGGTCTGTGTGTGTCTGTGTCTGTGTCTGTGTCTGTGTCTGTGTCTGTGTCTGGTGTCCTGAGGCCTCCCGCCGCCGCCGCCACCCACCAATCGCGCGCACGTGCAGGACGAGTACACATACACACACGCCCTAGAGTGCGTGTTTCTTCCCCGGGGCTTGCGGCTGCTGCCCGTGCGGGGAGACGGGGAGGGACTCGACCCGGAGGACCTGGACCGCCGACTACGCTGTGCCGCCAGGGCCGCAGAGGCGGGGGAGTGCCGCCGCCCGCGGCTGCTGTACACCATCCCCACGGGGCACAACCCCACCAGCGCCAATTTGAGCGAACAACGCAAGCGGCGCATACTGGAGGTGTGTCCGTTTGTCTGTCTATGCATCTGTCCTCTCTGTGTTGTGTCTCTGTCTGCCTGTCTGTCTGTCTGCCTGTCTGTCTGTCTGTGTGCGTTGGGCGCAAGAGCTGTCTGAGGAGGGATGTGGAGGGGGCGGCACGTGGGGGCTTCAGCGGATGCGTGTGTCAGGGCCGGCCAACCGTGTCGTGCTCCGTACGCCGTACACGCAGGTGTGCGAGGCCCACGACCTCCTGATTCTGGAAGATGACGCCTACTACTGGCTCTACTACCCGAGTGAGGGGGAGGAGGGGGAGGAAGGCGCGGAGGAGGGCGCGAGCTGCCTCAGCGAGGGGGTAGCTGTGAGCCCGCGGCGGCCCCGCCCTGTCCCCGGCCTCCCTGGACTGCCCAGGTCCTTGCTTGAGATGGACGCGGGCGGGCGGGTCATACGAGTGGACACCTTTTCGAAGCTGCTGGTGTGTGTGTGTGTGGGGGGAGATGGAGGGGGCGAGAGAGGGCCAGGGGGCTGTGTGGTGGTTCGGACCTTGTTCGGGTCGCGGCAGCTTGGGGGGAAGGTACGGAAAGGGGGGAAGGGGTAGTGGTCCGCTCCTGGAGCGCTGCATCGCCATCCGGACCATATCGGTCTCAAACTGGGCTGAGTTCCCTCCGTATGTACGGCAGCAGCCACCGCCTAGGAGCCCACCGAGCTCTGCACCTTCCACCCTCCGCTTTGTGCCGGGGGGTTTGGCGCCCCCCCTGTCCGCCTCCCGCCCCCACCCGCAGGGCCCGGGGTACCGACTGGGCTGGATCACCGCTCCGCAGCCGCTGGTGGCCAAGCTGGCTACCTGGGTTCAGGCCAGCACGGTGGGGCCGTGCAGCGCAGCGCAGGTGGGGGGGGGAGGGGGGCCGGGTGCCGTTGTGGGCGGCGGTTAGGGGTATGTCGTACGGGTGGAGGCAAGGGAGGTTTGTGCCAGTTTGTGCCAGAACTGACGAGTGAAAGTGCATTTTCGAAGTGCATGTATAGTTTGTACGGCTGTATTGTGTACGGCTGCAGTATGTACGGCTGCCGCACGAGCTCAGTGTTTACCACAACGTTGCCTTCCTGACCGCCCCCAGCTGCGCACTCTGTCTGCGGGTGTATGTAACTGCGTATGTGTGTATGTACTTCCTGTATGCTGCTCCTCAGGTTCTGGTGGGGAAGCTGCTGCAGCAGTGGGGGCTGGCGGGCTTCCAGGCGCATGTGGGGAGACTGCAGGTGGGGTTGGGGATGAAGGCAGGGCTGCTGCTTATTCCCCGTCCCTCTCCCCCTCACACACATACACGACGTACATCGCGGCTCAGTTCAACATACAACAAATGTTCATTTCTGATTCGGTCATCGCTCACTCATCCACCACCACCCTGGGGCCCCTTAGCGAACACGGCCTTCCCCCCCCTTTGCAACAATACACAAGACATCCCCGTCCTTCTCGTCTGCCTCTGTTGTGCACTCGCTCACTCAACCCCAGGCCCTCTACGCGGCCCGGGCCGCCGCAGCACATGCAGCGGCGGTGAGCCACCTGCGGGGTCTGGCGGAGTGGCGGCGACCCGCGGGGGGCATGTTCATGTGGTTGCAGCTCCTAGGTGCGGGAGCAGTGGTCGTCATATACCCGGGGGCGGGGGAGGGGGAGGCAGGAGGGAGCAAGGAGGGAGCAAGGAGGGAGGGACCGGGGTTCGGGTGTGGATGGGGCTGAATGACCACATAGGGTTCGCAATCCCTCGAGGAGAAAGTGGGATGTGATGTCAGATATGCCGTATACCCGCCGTACACCCGTCTGTGCTAGCGACTCGCTTGATATCGTAGCGGCGCATATTTTATCTGCCTTCCTGTCAAGCCCCGTACACAGGTGGGGTGAGGTGGGGTGGGGTGAGGTGAGGTGGGGTGAGGTGAGGTGAGGGAGGCTCGCCGCCATGCACCGCCTGTTGCCGCCCGACCCGACACTGCGCCTCATGTTGCAGGTGGACTGGATGCTGCCGCGGTGGTGGACGAGCTGGTGGCGGCCAAGGTGGTGGTGGTGCCCGGGAGCTTGTTTGCAACCAGGGGAGTAGAGGTACGACAATAAGAACGAAGACTGTAGGGGGCGTACGAAGACTGCCATAGCACCCCTAACGTGGGGCGGGATGGGTGCCTCCGCCACCACCACCACTTTATTCCCGCGTGTGTGCAGGAGAAGTATCAGGTCTGGATGGTCGGGTGCATTGTATTATTGGGATTCGCCGCTACCCACATCCCCTCACCCACCCACAGATTGTCCGACGGTCTTGGATGGTCTTGGTGGGGCAGGTGGAGCAGAGGGCGAAATAAGCCTAGGCGTCACGGAGACCGTGTGGGGGGCCTGTCATGTGAACTCAGCTTCAGTTGCTGTGCTCTCGCTCCCTAGCTAGCTAACTGCGCAAGTTCCTGACACCAGGCCACCGCACTCTCACACGCACTTTTACCAACTTGTGTCTGTAGGGGCTTTGGCCTCCGCCTATTTGTTTTTGTCCTCTCGGCGTTTGCATTCCAGCTGCGCTGCACAACTTCCCGTTGGCGACTACCGCGCAGGCGACATTGGAGCCGCCTGAGGCTGCGCACCAGCCTGCTGATGGTGGCGGTCACGTCGCCTTGCAGCCGAGCAGCGGCGGCGGCAGCGCGGGGAGCCCCAGCGGCGGCTGCTGCCTGCGGCTGTCCTTTGCGGGGTGTGCACCGGAAGTGTTTTCAGAGGGCGTAGCCAGGCTGGCAAGTGTGATACGCACGGCTCGCTCTCGCTGTAGCTAGGTGGGGGGGCTGGTTGGCCGGTAAGTAGTGCCGGGGAGCTGGGGGGCTGGGGGGCTGCGTCTATCTGCCGGTGTAATATATTCAACATGCCGCCAGCGTTTCGGCAGCGTTTGTCCTCCGCTGGCAAAATGGCAACATCTAGGGGGGGGTGAGGGGCACAGTGTCTACGTGCAGCGAGCGCTGGAGAGATGCATGACGGTTCTGAGGGTTGAAGGCTAATGGCCGCAACGACATTGCGATGACATTCCATAAGTCTGCAAATGTCGTACCATGTTCGTACAGGTTCATCGAAGATGCTCGCTCGTGCTCCTCTCTAGTTGCGAGTCTGATACTTATGTACGACATCCCCCACCAGGCAAATTGCATTAATTTTATTGGGTGTACATACATACATACTAATTTGACCTTAGCTCTGTGCATGATAAGGCGAATCTGTGTACAAGGGTCATGCGCACTGCTGCACATTGAGTTCGTTGGTTTCCAAGGTTGCGCAGCGGCATTCTGTGTGGACGGACTGTGCATTGAAGAGAGAGAGGTTGTGGAGAGGGCCGCTTCTCATGTTTGCAACAAGGTTGGGAAGGAGTCGGCAAGGGCATGACCGTTAATACCGTTGCACATTATGTACACTAAGGTGCCAACACAAATGTATATTAAAATTATATCGGCCCTGACCAGGTTGTAGAGAAGGCGACCCTAAAACCCCTGTAGTACTACAAAGCAACGAGCTTTGATAGGAGTAGTAGCCGCTGCATCCAAGCACGACACGAATGCGCGAACGATAAACTCACGCTGCGACAACCCGCTATACACACAATGAAATACACACACATTACACGCAGCACCTTTCCCCGGCAACCGCTACCACCAGAGTATCAGAGGCCCAAAATAGTCCTCCAAGCTACAGCCTGCAAAAACCGAAATACTACCGCACTCCCGCATCCAGCGCTTGTTTAGTTTCTCAACGAGAGCAACATGCACGTATGTAACATCAGCACTTGAATTCTTTTGGCTTCGTGCATAACACGAATGCCGTTCATGCGGCATGCATCAACATCAATCCAAGTCGCGCTATCCAAACACACTCACCGCACCCCCGAGTCGAGCTCCCCTGCGTCGGGGCCGCATGTCGGGGTTGCTAGTGGAGCTCTAGCAGCCGCTCCCCAGGCCCCTCTGCACTACCTAGGGGGGGGGACCGCAACGGCCCCCTGGCCGCCAAGCTGCGGCTCTAACACACACACACCGGGGTGGGCACTGCCCCGCGTTCCTCTCCTCATACCAGGTGCTCGCGTAGTGGTGTGTAGTGGTGTGGTGTGTGGTTAGGGATAACGCGTGTTGTTCCCCCCCAACCTTGCACGGCACACAAACAGGCACACACACAGGCACACACACAGGCACACGCACCCTCGCACCCCATTAGGAGGCCTCGTCACTGTAAAACAGCATGTAGGCCTGGCAGGCGGTCACGTCCTCCACACTCACGGCCGTCACCCAGGCGTCATCGCACTGGTACCAGCTGCCCCCCGCGGCCCCGCCGGGCCTCACGAACACCACGTAATGGCCCCCCGACAGGTCGCCCTTGTGGCTGATAACGGCAAACAGCCGGTAGCGGCAACTTGGAACGGCGCCGAATGGCCCACTGCCACTGTCGCTACCGTGGCTGCCACCACCGGTGTCGACCGCAGGCGCGGCAATCCCAGCACTCGCGGAGCTTGGCTCGGACTTGACGGGGTCCGTCCAGTTAATGTCGGGTGGCTGTGGGCGCGGCGGAGCGTCCGTGCTGCCTCCACAGCCGTCCGCAGCGGGAGCTTGTCCATTGCGCATGCAGTACCTGACGCATCCCGCATGCGTACCGCAACGAACAAGACGGCAAGACAAAATTAAAAACGACAGTCATGCGCCTGTGGTGGTTTTCTTTGTCAGGGGCGGTACAAGGTACGACAAAGGATACTACTGCATTGGCGACGGAGCCGGGAGCTGCGGGGAGCAGTTCGTGTGGATTTCCAGGATGAGAATGGCTTCCGGACTTCCCACGACACGAAACGCCGGCTGGTGTGGATAACAACGCAACCCCACACATATGCATGTCTGTCCGTATGTCTGTCTGTTGACGAAACAGTGTCATTAAGACCTCCTAAATCGCCAAGAGCAGGTTCGCAAGGAAAACGCTGGAAACCGCACCTTTCACGCAGGATAGCTGGTGTCGTGTACGGCGCCAAGTCCAGAGAGAGGGGGAAGTGGAGCTTAGTCTGCACGGGACAGGGACGGAAGGGAGGCCAGAGCTCCTCTTCTCTTAGCGGCGAGACATCCATGCATGACGAGCTGATGGCGGCGGGGGGGACTCTGCACACCTCTGGTGGTGAGGGCCGTTAAGCGAGCAAACAAATGATAACCCCAACCGTGCCGAAAGCGTCTGGTGACATGTACGACACAGTTTGACAGCTCCCAAGCAGTCCGCTACTTGGCCCACCTGGATCTTCCTGGCGGAGTGGCGGCCCCCGGGGGGGGGAGGAGGAGGTCGGCTGGGCGCCGCAGCCGCAGCAGTGCTCCCCCCATGTGCCTGTCCCCCTACAGCTGCGGACTGCGAGGGCGGCCCTCCGTGCGGCTGACCCGCCTCCGAATCCGGTTGCTGCGACTGGTAGTGCTGGTGGTTGTGGTCGTGATGATGGTGGTGATGATGGTGGTGGCGGTGCTCGAACCGCTTCACATGTAGCGCCAGTACGGGCGGCAGGCGGCGTATGGAGAGCTGCTTTACAGCGGGCTGTTGCTGCTTACAGGCGCTGCAGACCCAGGCCTCCCCCGCGGACAGCCGCTCCGGAGTGACGAAGTGGCGCAGACAGCCCTGCAGGGTGGCATGGCCAACCGCTCCCTGCGCGCAGCGGGGCACGGACGGCTGTGTGGGTCAGGTGGCCCTCACCACAGGACTTCGCAGTCGTTCAGCGCCGCTGTGTGCAGGCCTTCGAAATGTACCTGTCATGGCACTGCGATCCTTGTGACGTCTCATGCGCGCGGATAAGTGGGCTTAGCGCTTGAACCCCTGTTGACAACACATAGCTGAATAGGACTGTGGCCAAGGAAAACAGTTCATACCTACCAATTGCCGCACATTGTTGAAAATAGTTTGGCATACCGCAGCTCGTAAAGATAGTGGAATTAGGCGCCCCTACACCTGGTGCAAACTAGAGCCACTGATCAGGTTGCCAACGTCCCAACCGCCCCTGTCAGGCCTCTGACCTGCGCCGAGTGGGGCCCATGTACCGCATCGGCAGCCTGACTCGCTCCGGGCTGACGGGTCGACCTAGGGTCCGTCATCTGCGCCGACGAAGCCCCCGGCTGACCCATCTGGGGCACAGCGCCGCTGCCGCCACGTTTCGCCGCACCAGCGCCTCCCCGCATCACGCGACCGCCCGCACCCCCTCGGCGGCCCCGGCCCCGGCCGCGCCCCACCCTGCCTGTCCCCACACCCGCAGCGCCCCCTCGGCGACCGCCCCACGAGCTGCACGGCGCCTGCCCCTCGGGACATGAGGCCGATGGCTGCGATGTTGCCAGTGGGGCCTCAGCCGCACCCTCTTCCGGGTCCTGGGCTCCCGGGGCAGCCGTGTCCTCCGCGCAGGAAACACTGGCGCCGGGAGTCGCACCGCGGCTGCCGGGGTCGCCGGCCAGCAGCCCATAGTCAGCTGCCGGAGCAGCGGCTGACGTTTGCGGCTCCGAAACCTGCTCCGTGGCCCTCTCCCCTGCGACCGAGCCACCTTGTGAAGCGCCAGCCCCCGGCAGCACCTGGGGGACATGCAGGTAGTCCATGAAGGTGAGTCACACGTTGGGTGCACGAATTCCAACTCCGCAAGCTGGTCGACCACCTAATCCGCAAGGTGCTCAATGTGACGAATATCGGCCACTACTATTTCGCACTGGCGGAAGGCGTCACCCCCCAATTATCCAGCTCCAACGGGCTCTCACTCTGCCACCGGATCCGGTACATACATACATACACGCTTAAGATTCCTCCTCCTCCCCATCCTCCTCCCCATCCTAATCCGTCCCCCCTCGCACCGCCCGATCCACCAAACACCCTGATCCCTTCCTCTCTTGCTCTGCCTCCTTGCCTGCTGAGAGTGCTGCTGCACCGGCAGCGGCTGCGCATTGGCGCCCTTCTCAAAGCCCACACGCGGGGAGGTGATGCAGTCGTCCGGCTGGTTGGAGGGCGAGGCCGCACCTTCCACCGGGCCGCCAACACCGCCATCAGCAGCGCTTTCTGCGGCCGCCATCGAGTCGCTGGTCGTGCGCGGGAGGCCCTCCACTGCTTCCCTGGAACCACCAACCGCCGCAACCGCCAACACGGCCGCAGGCTTGTTGTCGTACCTGCCAGGGGCACCCGTCGCTGCTGCTCCTGCCGGATGGCTCCCCAGGGTCCCCACCACCGGAGCACCGCCGTGCGCTCTGACAGCTGCACCCGAGTCCTGAGCTATTCCCGTGACTGAGTTCGGTGCGGCGAGGGAGGGAGGGGCAGGAGGGGAACCAAGATCGGAAGCTTGGTTTCGCAATCTCGACATGTCGGCGGTGGGAAGTCCTCGTGCGTGTTTGCCTATAGGGTGCACATAGCACTCGCCCTCTGTTTCACTTTCACAAAGATTACCAGCTTGGCAGAGGTAGGCCTGCTTTACGAATCCACCTATGCTGTTCCGTTGAGCGACGTTAACACGGTGCCCAGGAGGGACAGCGAGTCCGCACCATCTTGCCCCTTGACCCCGTGGCCCCCTGGCCCCGCATGCCCCTGCCGCCCTCGCACCCAACCCCTCCACACCCCTCCCGCACCTGTGGACCCCGGGAAAGGTCCGCAACTGTCATCTGACGCGGTGCTGGTGCCCTGTGCACAGCAACACATAAAAATACACACACACACACATCGCGGGCGGGGAGGAAAGGGAGAGATGGCACCTCCACCGACGCCTTCATGGGGACAGCATCTGACTGCTGGGACCACGTCCATCTCGTCTGTGTGCAACAACCGGAAACGGAGCGGACAGGGCGCCCCGGTGCCGACGCCCGCCCGCCCGCATTCCGATGTCCAGGTCGCAGGTCGGCCGGAAGAGTGCGGGGAATCACACACCTCCGTGCACATGTAAATCCCCTGTCACGGCGCGGCACAGTGGGGTGGCAGTGCAGCCACCAGGGCCAACCTACTCACCTTGCTCCGCAGATGCAGGTTGTGAACAGCCCCTGTAGGGAAACCTCGCTCGCAGTGCCGCTGCCCCTCACTCTCTCCACCCTCCTCGCCCTCTGTGGGTACACCGCCGCTCCCCGTGGAGGGCGAGGCGCAAGGGCCCTGGTGGCTGCGGCCCGGCTGGGCCTCATCGCCCTCCCTCTCTCCTTGCTCCTCGGCAGCCAGAGCAGTACCAGTTACGCCCGAAAGGGATCGCGACGGGGAGGGCACGGACAGCGTGGACAGCGACGAAGGTCCCCTGCATGTGGAGGCGGAGGGCCGGACAGCCACCGCAGCTGCCCGGTGGGACGCGCCGTCGGGCTCGGTCTCCTCCTCCCCTTGGGCGCCGGCCAGCAGGTTGGGCGCCAGAGTGGGGGAGGAGGCGGGCGTGCTTTCCGACACGAGCGGCCTACTGCCGGCAGGTGTGTAGGGCAGGTGCGGTGGGCCCGGGGCCACTGCGACCTGCATGCCGGCCCGGGCGAAGGTGGGCATGATGTCTTAGTTCCGGGTAGGAAAGGCGAATGCGACTTAGGGTTTTTAGGCTTCTTCCCATTTGCACCTAGGGGGCGTTTGTAACTTCACATCGTCAGAGACCTGTGTGCATCCGGCTAGCTTGTCATGGTGGTAACATGCGCTCCCAGAGAACCAGGATTGTCCCCTTCCCTGACCCCGGACGCACCATGTCCAAAGATATGTCTAGGAAAGGGTCGTACGCAGTGGACGTGTGACCACACACAGAGCAGGTCACATCGCTCCGCAGCACCCCACCGAACACGGCGTCAACCAGCGGGACAAGACCGCGGCCGCGGCAGCTGCCGACCCCCGTGTTGGGCTGCACGCCCGCTTCCGCCACCGCCTCCGCCTCAGCGGCCCCAGCGGCACCAGTTGCTGCAGCCGAGGGCTCCGCCCCGCCAGTGGTCCCTTCGCCTCTGGCCGCCTGCGGCTCCCCACACCGGCCTGCAGAGCTGCGGCACAGGACGGCAAGACCGACGCACTCATTCCGGCAGATCAGCACAGGAAGCAGCTTCCATCAGACCAACATCATACACGGCGTGTGCACACAGTACTACTAGGAACTCACTGCGCCTTGCAACTCGCGTAACCCCCACCCCACCATATCAACAACACCCTGCACCAGAGTTCAGCACGCAAATGGGTTCGCCCCGTCTCATGAAGTACGGTGTAGTGGCCACTGTACGAACCTCTGCACTGCCGGCTGCCGACTTCCGCTCCCAGGCGGTGACCTCTCCGCTGCCGCTCCATTCGACCCCCCCACCGGCTCCGAGAGACCCGCTTTGGCCACCGGAGGAGGACTGCTGCCGGCACCACAGCCGCCCTCCACCTGAACGCCGACACCGCTGTGGAGAGTATCAAGAAGGTCACGTGGTGCGCGGGGCAAGGAGGCAGAATGGGGCCAGATGGACCAGCCAGTATCCCAGGTAATTACCGCTTGGGCCACCAAATTGTGAATGTTCGTCCACAGGTGTCCTACCGAGTGCCTCCCAAGCACCAGACAAGCCGTTTACTGCTAATGAAGGTACCGACGGCCCAACAGGAGACGCAACGCGTTGCCGTACGAGGTCACATCCTTAGTTAAGCGACCGACATATCCCGCTTACCCGCCGGGGTCGCAACTGCCCCCTCACTCTCTCCCCCCGGTGGTTCACCTGATGGCATGTGGCTGTCTGGGCCCGGACGCTGGGCTGGTGCTGGCATGCGGTGGCGCCACTGGCTCCGAAATCACCGCCGCACCGAGACCTGACAGCGCGGACAGATAAAACTCATGCGCGTCTTGCTGCCGGTAGCCTGTGGGGCGCGGTGGCAGTGGTCAGCAGTGGGCAGCTCGGTAAGAGCTCTTACCGGCCCGGCCATTACCAAGATGATGTGACCCTTGCGGTTGTCCTATCCGGCACTGACTGTACCTGCCAGGCTGTCGGCAAATGTCCACCACGAGTACAGGAAGTCCGTGGGGCTGAGGGGCGCCCGGTCGCCCGAGTAGGCGGCAGCGAACACCGCGTCCTGCAGAGGGAGGGGCGGCGGGTGGGAGCAGCCGGGCTGGTTCTCCCTAACACACATGCGGGCACAGGATTTCTGCAGACGGCCTTGCCTTGCATGACATGGACGACCTGGGCACAGGTATGAGACATCAGCTCGATAGGTAGATATGGGAGGGGGGCGCGTGATAGAGAGGGGGGTTACGCCAGGCAGCAGGTGCCCAGCAGCTCTCAACTGGCCAGGTTGCAGCTTACTCTCTGAGCAAGTAGAGGCCCGGGCCCGGGCAACGTACCAGTTCGCAGGATAGGCAGGGGACCCCGGGCGACTTGCCATGCCTGAGGCACGCGCTTTGCGAATGCCCCTGGCCTAGGAAGTAGTTCCTCATCAACGGCGAGTGAATGAAGACCTGCGGCCGCCACGACATGGCATACGTAGTGCACAAGACTTCACGAGGTGTGCTCACTCGCGCCAGTAGCCCGGCAGCAGCTGGTGGTGTTGGTGATCAGTCTGCGCACTTACGCGGCGACTTCCAGTGATAATTCTTAAGAGGTAATGGACGAAGAAACAATACAAGCGAGCATGCCTATGATCCGCGGCAGGACTACCGAGTACGAACCGTGAGTCCCCACCGACCTGCAGAACGCTGTTCATGAAGCACGTGTTCCCCAGGTTATTCAGGCCACGAAGGCCGGCTGGAAACCCATCTGGTGTGACGTCCACGCCACAAGTAGCAGCCGCCCATCCAAAGGGCGCGACCTTGTTCACCTGCAACCAGGAGCATGTCCCGATATGCATGCATGGGGGCGGTGGTGAATAAATGCAGGCAGTCTGACGTGTCCGCACCGGGATGTCAGCCGCCCACCATCTGGTGTGGTGTGGGGCGGGGTACCATACCTGAAACCCTGGTGTGCACTCCGTACCGCCGTGATCAGCTGTGGTGCTTGCGTGCAAAGCAGGTGCAGCTGCGTGTGCTCGCTGGACTGCCAGTACTGGATCTTTAGCGGCTCGGGCCCGTTTGGTTCGTACATCGGGCCCCGGGTCGTGATGTGGTAGCCCGGGCCTCAGGCCCCGGTCGAGGTAACGCCTTGCGACGTGGGCGAGCTGCAATCACGCGGGCAGGGCTCGGTCACCGAGTGACACACAGCTGGACACACGTCTGGGCCCGGGTGGCACATGGAGAGGCGGTGGGCAGTGTTGGGGACATCACTCGTGCGAACCTGGCGGCCTTCATCAAACGTTGAGTGATAGACGTAGTCATTGCAGGTGCAGCAGTACAACTCCGATCGTACAATATCGACGAGCAATCCAGAGCCTAACAAGACATGTTCATGAAGGGAAGGAGTTAGATAAGCCAATCCTGAAAGGGGGTAGGCTATGCACAAATTACTTACCACACGCGCACCCTCGGAGCAAGCTGCGCCCTGCTGTATCTGCTTCTGCCGCAACCCCACATCTGTGGGACACTGCTTGTCCGCACGCGCAGCACGCGTGGGAGGCGTTCGGCGAGAGCCGTGAACTCTGCGAAGTGGACACGGAACCGGGTTTTGAGGCTCGCCGCCCCCAGACTGCCGAACTGACCAAGAAAAGATGTATGTGCCGCGAGAGAGACAAACTAAGGACAATAAAAATGCTAGGGAGAAAGCTCTTCGGAGGTGACGACCTGACATTTCCCGTGGCAAACGTTGCAGGCAAGCCCATGGCCCAGGTTCTGACAACCTTACATGTTGAAGGATCATATTCCCATAATCCAAGGATGAAAACCCCATATTGACATGGGAACAGGAGCCCTCCGGCCTTGCACGTTTCATAACGGAGCCTGCTCAAAATTCCGCAAAGCCTCCCTCTACCTAACACGCCATACGGTAATACAGGTATGCAGCTACTTTGTGGGAGTTAAGGTGTGTAAACAGAGTAGGGAATAAAACTACAACGTTCCGCTCCTTTTTTTCGCCGTTGCCAGGCATGCGACTGTAAAGAATAATAACATTGGAAAATATGATGTTAAGTGTTCTTGAGATTGGGCTTCCTTCTGATACTAGGAATGATGGCCCTCAACGAACGAGCCAACCGACCAGTGGCCATGCCGGTGCCCTTTTCCATGCCTCAAGGATAGATTCACTAGGATGCAATGACTGAAACACGGAGGGAATTTACTGCGTCTGGTTTTTATATTGTTTAGGAAACGTAGTTGCTCGCCTATGCTCACTGTTGGCTGTAACTCAACGACATCCCCAAAACAACTAACTATTTATCATACCAAAAAATATGTTGTTGGGAGTTGCGGCCGACCTGCTCAGCGCAGACGAGCCTCGGACGCATTACCTTACGAAGATTGGCGGCGCGCCATATGTTCCTTCAGCGCGCTGCGGATTGAAGCTCAGCGGCTGCGACTGGAAGCGACTAACGAAATGCAAGGTTTGCGGAAATGACCTGTCGTTGGTTTTCCAGGTATGGCGGTTTCTATCAGTCGGGTATTGTCCGTTGTTAGGGTTCCCCCAATCGCCATGGCGATTACAGTACCAGATGGGACAATTTGTATTACGTAGAAAAACGAAGATGCTTACCGCATTTCCCGTTGCCGCTCCCTTTCTGTTGTCAATGGAAGTGTTTTCCAACCGAACTGTTAGATGTGCGCCACCGGGAACGTAACGAGGGTCTTTCCACTTCGAACGTGCGCTTCAGGATGGTTGAGCTGCAGAAATCACTCATAAAACAACTGACAGGCGTGGGGGCCACCGAATTGGCTGCTGTCCGAAGAGCTTAGCCAGTATCCGCTACAAGTCCATAGCGTGGATTTGATTTTCTGTTTTTGGGATCGTATGGTAGAGGCGAAGGGCACGTTGTATATTCATTGTTTTCAAGAAAAGCTTTGCCTGGCCTTCACTTCTACTGACGATGGCTGGGAACGAGGTGCATCAAAGCATTGGGTTACGGCGTAGGTTTAGACGATAAGCTCTTGAAGCTAGAGTAGAGACCGCGTCATTGCATGTTCTAAACATAATGCTTAGGTTGGGCTCTACTGGTAAGTCACGGACCATTGCCCCCGGGAGATTCCGGGATAGAGACCTGTCAGGATCGAAAATCCTTCCGATGGTGGACGGTAAAGTGCCCCTAGTTGATGGGCGATGGTGATCTTGGATGAAGTTAACCTGCGAGCTGACCAGGGGTGGAGTCGGGCCGCCGTCGATCCGGCAGATTCCATTAGATGCTGGTGGTGAGTGCGGAACCTGACCGGCCCACTGAGAAGTTGATTATGATGACTAGACGAGGGTGCCCCGAAATACTGGGGAAGGCAAGGTTTTGCCAGGTAGCGGCCACGGGTGAAGATATGCCCCCCTGTCCCACACATTATAGTTCGGTTGATGGAGGAGGTCCGGGACCGGTTTGATGATGACAGGGCCAGTGAGAAGCTGGCGGTGGATCCACATGTGTTCGTTTCCGACAACAGCAACCGGGATGAAGATGTGCCGATACCTGGGGTGGATGGGGCAACCCAAGCACTGTGAAGGCTATCTTGTCGAGGCAACACGTCACACTGGTGCGCTTTAGGATGTGTGTTTGGCCATTGGCTGTTAACTGGCTGCATGGCAGGGAGCATGCCTCGCGGTGGTATAGGGTCTGTCAAGGCGAACGACACGTGTTGCTCGAATGTCCTGCATACGGAGACGTAGGCTGCAGTACATAAAGGACTAATGCGGTTCACGAGGCTTTTTTTAATCACTTTATTATTATTATTATTATTATTATTTATTTTTATTAATTTTTTTCCATTGCTATAAAAATCGTCAAGACAAACGTTACTCTGTTGCCACCCTTTTTTTGTTTGATATGCTGACGTAGGCTTATGCACCTATCGGTGATTCTGTTGACCGCGTGCTTTTCCTGCTGGGTTGCACGCGGCCAGGCTGTGGGAACGATTCCCGTTGCTGGCGCGCCTTCCGGTGTCAGAAGGCCCCTCCGACTGCGGCAATGACTCAAACTGAATGCGGGTATGAGGACGAACCCATCTCCACCTCCACCCCCACGTCTGGCCTGGCCAAACGAGAGACACCACCTGGACCGAAACCAGCAGCTGTGACGGCGGCTCCAGATTATAATGGGGCCGGCGTGCCAAACGTTTTCGGAAATGGCTTCGACTGTGATGACGGGTTCAGCTTTGGTGGCGACGCGTCTGACAAGCAGGGATGCACCGGTGGTTTCGCAAGCAGTGCTGCCTTAGACTTTTCAGACCTTGGGGCTATCCTGGAGGACTGTGCGGTACAGCAGCTGCAACAGTCTAACTTGGGTAAGCCGGAGGTTGGGAAAGAGTGCACCGGCGGCAGTGGTCCCGACTCCCCACGGCACCAAGCAGCAGACTGCACGCCCAGCGCAGAACTTCCTCTTTCCGGACCCACCTTGCCGGAGTTTCACATCATGGCGGTTGAAGAACCTACAGGTAGGCAGGTATGTATGTATGTAGGTAGGCAGGTATGTATGTATGTAGGTAGGCAGGTATGTATGTATGTAGGTAGGCAGGTATGTAGGTAGGTAGGCAGGTATGTATGTATGTAGGTAGGCAGGTATGTATGTATGTAGGTAGGCAGGTATGTAGGTAGGTAGGCAGGTATGTATGTATGTAGGTAGGCAGGTATGTAGGTAGGTAGGCAGGTATGTATGTATGTAGGTAGGCAGGTATGTATGTATGTAGGTAGGCAGGTATGTATGTATGTATGTAGGCAGGTATGTATGTATGTAGGTAGGCAGGTATGTAGGTATGTAGGTAGGCGGGTATGTATGTAGGTAGGTAGGCGGGTAGACATGTAGGTATATAGATAGATAGGTAAGCAGGCGATTAAAAGGGAATTACCCTTGAGGCATAATGCTTGCACCTGGGTGTGTAGGTAAGACAAGGGCCCCAAGCTAAAAGCAGCATTACATACCCAGCATACGTTTACCGCCATTATGGCATCTGATACCCTAGGTAGTTAGCTGTAGTATGGCAGTGTGTATAGATGAACATAGCATCATACTCTTCCAGTTCACGAGGCAGCCGGTTCAGGTTGTATGACCTACATGTGTGATTATACACATGTGTGTGTGCGTGTGTGTGTTTTATGTATATGTGTGTCGAACTTCATGCAGTGTGAGTTGGTTGAAACATGCTAGTGTCTTATTGCCTCCAGCTTATTGCTCACCTACACCTTTCCTACTTGAGGCATGGGATGGAGCGCTGCTCTCTGATGGAGAGTTAGTGGGCAGCAAGCAGCAGCCCGGCAGCTAGCTGGGTCATCCACTCTCTCCGCCAACAACGCATTCCCCCCTTGCATACACCAGGGCAACGGAACGTGATGGGCTCGGCTGATGATGTGGACCGTGTACAACAGCTGCTGGAGGAGTATGAACGCCAGGAGGGACAGAGGAATCAGCTTTCTTCGTCGTCATGCAGGCTGAGAGCGGCATCCAGCGGCAGCAAACATGATGGGCACCGGGCTGCTGCTGGTAGTGGTGGTGATGGTGTGCAAGTAGCCACTTACACCTCCGGGGCAGCATCCACTGATGCAGACAGGGATCGGACAGCGAAGAACGCTGCTGCTGTGGTGGCTGGTACTGGCGGAGTTGTCCCCTGCAGTGAAGATGGAGACGATTTGGGTTCTTGGGCTGGGGAGGAGTACGAAGAGGATCATGTCCGGGGTGTGCAAGGGGCATACCTCAAATATGCTGCACGTCTAGCTCGGCAGCCTGATCAGTGTGCAAGGTATGCGTGGTGGGGCCGCTGCTGTCTGGCATAGTGTTAAAGGCGGGGTTATATACCAATCAAGTCGGATCACGGTATGTTTATGTAAACATAGGTTCCACCTTGCATGCTTGTAGCCATGAGGGATGCTACTTAGCTTGTGGAATGCAGTTTTAGGTATCTTAATGGACAGAGTACTCGATAATTCTGTGGTATACCCACCAGTTTGGACCTGGCTACCTGGCTGGTCGTCTCCTCATTAGCAACTGCATCGTTTGGTGGCTTATTTTCACCTGCAGTCACTTACAATACCCCTTCATCTATTTTCTCATAAAACCCAGCATTTGTATATTGGACATTTTGTGTTTTTGTGTTTCATTTGTTTGTTATTGTTCATTTTGTGGCTTCATTTTGTGGTTTTGTGGTTTGACTTCATTCCATTCATGGATGAGCATTCAGGTTATTGTTACTTCGATTCCATGTGTCTGCAAGCTGGGCAATGCGGTGCTTGCCAGGTGGTTGTGTTCTCCTTGTGGACATGGCATCTACATGGCACAACTGCTCACAAACCACCCCATCATTTGCCATTGCACTGCACACAACAGAAAACGCGTTTGTTCCCCTGCTGAGTCATGGCCTTATCATGGCCACTGAAGGTGTGATTGTTGACCTGCTTATTACTTGACAGGTACTTGTGGGGTGGTAATGTGCTGTGGCCTTTGCAAGAGACCCCGCAGCCTGCACCATGTACATGTTGTGGGGCTCCAAGGACATTCGAGGTGCAGCTCATGGCGCCGGTTTTGGCCATGGTGCTGGACTGTGCAGAGTGGCTGCAAGGCTTGGAGCTCGAGATGCACCGGCCCGCCATCAATGCAGCAGCAAATTGGGATTTCACAACACTTGCAATTTACACGTGTAGTGCCAACTGTTACCATGGGCGACTGCTTTCTTCGAGCCCTGACCTGCAGCAGGAGGACACCGTGCTGGTGGAGGAGTATGTTGCAGTGGCGAATGAAGATCAGAGCCATGTCCGTGATGAGCTGAAGATAATGTAGGATCAGGCCCAAATCATGGACCATGCCATCTACAGAGCGTGGTTACGCTTTGTTACTGCATTAGGCCGATCTAAGCACGGTTGGAACACAGTTGGATCTGACCACCTTTTTTTACGGGTAGTAAAGGACAGTTTGCTTTGCATGATCCGCTCACAGACGAAGGTGACGGGTACCACCCCTGCGTGATTTGTTTCAGATGCAGCTTGCTAGGAAGGCAGTCCCGTTTGGCTGCCCTTCTTCACTTTGAGGCATCACTAGTACGCCAATATTCGTAGGCATGAATTTGTCATCATAGGGAAGCCATATTAGCAAAATCCCCCTGTGGCATCAGTGCTAGTCTGGTCTCAGTCGTAGCCAAGCTTGCTGATGTGTTGTAAATGCCGGTACGGACCACATGTTCTTCCTTTCCACGCCTGTGTCTATTACAGCGACAGGTAATGGTTTCTTTTTATTATTACAGAGTGGGAGGCTTCTGAGCTCAGTTTCTTTGCCTTACAGTATAAAAACTTGGTAGCCCGTTGTAATAACAACAACAGTATGACGACAGTATACTGTTGTTATACTGTCTAGGTGCCTGCTGCCTAAAGGATGTATCACTAGTGATGCCATCCTTTAGGCTGCTTTAGGCAGCGGGCAGCTAGACACCCCTGCCCATTCACAGCTCTCAAACGTACAGCGAATCTTTGAGGCACCGCTCATAATGAGTATCCATGGATAACGTACTTCAATTGGATGCTAATCATGCTTTTCAAGCAGAGTGCGATTTGTACAGCGGACCCCAAACGGGTCACAGAGCACAACACTGTGGTGTCACGACATTTTAGCGTCACGTTCATTTTACCGTCTTTTATAATCGTCTTAGGTTATAATCGGTGTGAGTACGCGAATTTCGTGTATTATCGCGTAAGGTGTTTGGTTCTTATCTTACACTTCGCTGATCGACTCATGGACGAGATGCGAATGTACGCTCGTTTGCGTATGTTTATGCATTTTACCTGTGAATTGTTCATTTCTTGTGAATGTTCTGTCACACGATTATAAGGTGTTTTCACTTGTGTCATTTGTGGACTATACGTCGTGGTCGTACTCGAGGCTTATCTTTGAGGGCCTCCTGTGATCGACAGTGAGACTTCGGTATTTATAGCCGGCAGCGAGCTTGGAAAAGTCGCTTTACGGCTCATGATTGGAACATTGTAAAGTTCTCTGAGCTAGACAACAAGCCCTGTGCGGTCCTCCCTTCTCGTAAGCCGCATAAGTAACTTCTTTCCACCAGCCGAACTCCTGTGTGGGCCACTCAACGCCCATATCCTTCACGCCGGGCACACTCAGTTGGTGAGGTAAATCTTTGCCGCTGTTGATTAATTGCCTGGAGGGAACTCTGGCCCCTTGCGCAGGTTGCCATTTGTTTAGTGTCACTACTTGCCCTTTTTGTCGTCAAGTCAGCACTTCAAGCTACCTGCAGGACTTCGCCAAGCCACCCTGCATTCCATAGCCGTAAAGCCTAAATCAGGCTAGAAGACCAAGTAAGTTCGGTTTTGGGTTTACCTTAGGTGTTCTGTCGCCTAGGGGATATTCGGGTTGCTTTTCCCAGCACCCTTTTTGGTAGGTTAGGCAGGCTAGGTCACGCCAGCCGCAGCCGGTCAGCAGTGTTACGCACAGCTGCCCTACCATTCAGCAATTTCGGGCCATTTTCTACTGGGTCGATTTGCTTGTGTATTCGGTCACTTTTACAATCGATACTGTGTCACGCACAGCCGTTTTTTGAACACTCGATACCGAATACTTGATACGATCCACTCGTTTTACCATCTAGGCTTGGTCAGCCCAGCCTAACATTATTCTTATATAATACATTCAGCTCACCTTAACAGTAGGTTCGAGCTTTTCTGTGCTTAACGAGCATTTCGCGTACCTCTGGCCGAATTATACGGGGTCACACCAATTCTTTTGCTTTCACTAGCCTCAATTCGCTACTGCAGTTTACATCGAGGCAGTTAACCCCAGGCCACGCAGAGGACGCCCGGGGCGCAATCCCTTTTGGTTTTCACACCAACACTTTTCTTCGTCGTGGTGTTCGGGCCACTCCAGTCAGACACCGGCACCATCGGCTGATTCCACATCTTCGAGCCTCTTGGCAAATCTCCTGTACTCATTTACATAGGTCTTTTGGCTCGCGGCGTTAGGGTCGACATCGAGCCGCGACCGGTCATTTGCAATATCCTGGACCAGCTTCTCAGGCCGAGGCAAACTATTGTTATCAGCACAACAGGTGGTGCAATTTCCTCTATTTGAATACGGAGACTTTTGTACGCCTAAGCGCAATGATATGATGGAGTAAACGCTGCAAGCTTATCGAGTCGGTACTCCACTCTTTCCCGACGCAGCGTTACTAATTATTCCAGCTGTTTCACGCAGCTACTCTTAATTTTTGCAGCTCAATACAACGCAACTTTTCAGCGACACCAGCTTAGGTGGGGCGGGTGTAGTACTCTTTAGTAGTCGCTAGGCTTTTTATTGCTTAGTCCTTGCCTGTTCGCTTCGCGTTTGTTGCTGCATCTTTCTCTTTTCCTTTTTCTCATCTTGTTTTTCGTAAGCTAATTATTACACAGGGAAGCATAAGTCCCACGGAGCCTCTACGTCGCAACATCCCGCGGGCCGCCACTGCGCAACATCTTCGCTCGACTACTCAGCGAGATCAGCAGGAGGTAAGCAAGGTTTCGCGTAAGGATACACGTAGGGTGTCCACCTCAGGGTCTAGTACTAGCGAAGCCGCCCGTATTCCGCGCTCGCGTTCCGATAGTGGCTTAGCAGTACAGGTGGAACGTCCCCTGACTAAGTTAGCTCAAACTGAGGGTGAGGTTGCTGCTCCACTAGAAACCCTCGGAACAGATTCCGATAGGGAGAAGTGGTCGCGTCTCTTTGAAGCGCTAGGTAGGCCCCGCACCTACATCAACCCTATATTTTCTAGGGACAGCGATTCTGACGACGAAATCATGCAGAACCTTTACCCTACCCTCGACCCGTTCCAGCACAACGGGTTGGATGACTTCCTCACCAAGGTTTTTCAGCAGGGAGTTGCCTACCCGCTCACTAGGAACAACTTGTCTGTTGAGAGCCTCAAATCGTACCTTGACGCACTGCCTGGTCGTAACACGCCATTCGAGGCGTGGTACAACTCCCACAGACAGGACCTCGTAGCCAAAGCTGCAGCGCACTTCAGAGTAGCTGAACCAGGTGCGGCGGCCAACGCAATCTCTCCTCGCCAACTGTACGACTATTATGCCCACATTTTAGAGGAAAACTTTGCCTCCGCGCGCGCGGAAAGTGATCTTGCGCGCTTCAGAAGCATGCAGCAGGGAGCTCTCTCTCCCATAGTCTTCAAGGATATGCTGCTAGCGCTGGAGAAAAAGCTGGACGGTAGGGTCAGCAAACACCAGGTCGCGGAACGTTTTCTAGAGGGCTTAAACCCCATGGTTCGGCATCACCTGGAGAGGCACCTCATTACCGTGGAGCGTACCAAGTGGTACGATCGTTTGGAGAAGACGGCACAAGAGGCTGAGGTTGTGTGGAACAACCTTCCGTTGGAGGACGGAGCAGTGCAGGTACACAAAAAGCCGCCGCAGCAGAAGAGTGCAGCAAAACCGCTTAGCGAGGAAAAACGCACCTTTTACTGCGAGAAGCACGGCACCAATAAATCTCACGATACGGCGCAGTGCCGTGTCTTAAATCCCCCAAAGACGAAATCCGCGCTTTTGACCTCTGACATCCCCTCCGGAATTGTTGAGCGTTTGGTTGCCTTGATTTCCCAGGGACAGGGCAGCGCGTCGACCTCAGGGGGGTCCAGGGGAATGGGCGGGCAAAAGCAGAAGGGGGCTGGGCCATCTATGCCCAAGCAGGGACAGGGTGCTAGCGAATCGCGGGGGAATAGGCCATCTTGCGAGTTCTGCGGAACCATGGGTCACCAGCAGAGCAAGTGCTTCATTTTCCACCCCGAGCTCGCTCCCGCGGACTATGAGCCCGCTAACCCAGCCCTGAAGGTTTTATTTCTGCAGCGCAAGAAGGCGGTTGAAAAGAAGGCGGCCTTGGCGGCGGCTGTTGCCGCAGCTTTCGAGGACGACTTTGAAGCAGAGGACGAGGGGGATGAGGAGGCGGCCTGCTGCACGACGCAGTTCCATGAAGCGGCGTCTAACGCCTCTCCCAGCCAGCAGGCCAGGATGGCGCCACTCACATGGACGCGCAGCGCACAAGAGGTAAGGTACAACAGCTTAGCCACTATGCATTCGCAGGCTGTTCCTAAGTCCTTTACTCCTGCCCCCTTAGTCACGAAGCAGTATCCGCCACCGACACCACCCGTGGCGAACAACTCAAAACGCGCCCATACACTGCTGGATGACAATACTCTCTTGCGTAAAATCTCCGACATGCCTGTCGGCACTTTTCTTAACCTGCTCTGCCAGCAGGGGCTGTCTTCCACCGGCGGCCCCTTAGACGCTAAACCCCATCCCCCAAGCACGGCCCAAGCAACGCAGGGTTCAAGCTCAGTTTCGAGCAGCTTTGGGGAGGGATTTTCCACGCTTCAGGCAGACAAGAGTGTGCAGCTCGCCTGTTTCCCGGCGGCAGCACCGGAGCTGGTCACGCCACCTCCCCTTGATTCTGGCCTGGCGTCTTTTGCCCTGGCGGCCCAAGGGCGCGCCAAACCCTCCGACCACCGTGGTGCCGGTTTCGAGTACCAGGTAAGTGGGGTTAAGGGTCCGCCTCCGTGCACTTTGTCGGAGCTCTCGCCTGACGAGCGGGAGCAGGCTTTAGCGGTTAATCCGTCGGCGGCGCGTTACATGGGGGAACCCGAGGGTCTGTATTACTACGAAACAGGGGCGTGTGTGTTGGTTCAGGGGCAGCGCGACAGGGCAGCTCCGGAGGCGTTGTGTGATTTTGCCGCAACGGTCAACGTAATGCCGACCAGTGTAGCCAAAGCACTTAACCTGCCCATAGTCGAGACAACC